GCCAGAACAAAGCGCGGCCAAGCAAATGAGGCCTGGGCACTGTACAATCAAATCCATCCGGACCCCTAGGTGTCCTAGGGTGACCTTTCTAGCTTGTCCAAAGTTTGTCTCCCCTGCTGGAGATACTCCCCCCCGCGGTATGTATTGAGGTCATTGAACAAAAAACTATTGACATGTTTTGTGAATCAGGCTCGGGAACTCTTATTTCGACACTTTTAAAAGAGCACTTACGTAACGAATGTCTCCCAACAGGCCATCGAATACCTGTTCACACTGCTCTAAAGTGTTACACAGAACCCGGCGCGGTGCAGCTTCTCTCCATTACATAAACCTCCCCCCGGGGATGGGGGTACCTTGGTTAATGTTTGCTGGGTATGTGCCGCTGGCCTCTCAGAGCCCCTACCCCATTAAAGTCTATTCTGTGGCCAATTATAGAGCCCATCTTTGTCACTTTTGCGCAAATATGTAATTTTCGCGACTCCAACTTAATAACTTTCTCTTTTTATGAATTGATCCATTTTTTAAATTGAACGAAGAACACTACTTTTTATCTGCAGTACAAACATTCTGGTACGTTAGCTAAGCGTAAATATGAAGAACTGCCTTACCCCCCAAAATAAAAAAATGTGCGACCCTATTAGTAGTAACTCTACTGAAAATTCGACCCCATAACAGTCGTGAAAATACGACCCCATCCAGCAGCACATCCCCATTAGCCTCTTATAAGGAAGTACCCCTCCCCCGGACAGAAACAGAATCGCGCCGAACTTACTGTTCTTGTGTTTAAAAGAAGTCCTATCCAGTATGATTTTCGTGCCGGCGTAGCAGCTGCCCTTGAGTCTAGTGGGAACATAGTCTACGTTTAAATTAAAAAGTCGTCATGTGTTGCCATGCTCATCGCCGTTGCATTTAAAAACTCGCTTTTCAATTTTTCTTTAGAAGGGTATCGTTAACAATATTTGGAGTATCAATCGACCTGATCAACTGCCGATCATTCTGCGAATGAAAACGTCATTTTAAAACGTTCATGAAAACGTGGAAAAATAACCCTGACTTTTCACTGACTTGCAAAACAAACAAACACCTTGAAGTTCCCTGGCCGACGTTTCTCAAAAAGCCATAACCTTAACTTGCGAAGTCTCTGCACGGCGTTTTCCCAGGCCTTCTCGATCAATGCATTTCGGTGACGTATCTGTGGTTAACACGTGGACTCGAAACGCATTGACCGCGCAGAATAATGAGGCCTGGGGACTAGGCAAAACCTTACCCAGAAATTGACAACCGTGGCAAGCCAGGTTTTAAATATTACAAAACATATTGAACATTCTTGTGTTTCACCTCCAGCCATTTTATTTACATGAAAATCTTATGACTAGAGATAAACGCAAACTCGAGTATTATTTTGTATTACGTCATTTGGTGGTTGCAACGCCAAGAAACTACCGAAAGTTTGAGGAATTTCAATGCGAAAAATTTTGGTTAAATCGAAATCGACCTGACGATCGACAAGCTGTTCGAAAACGGCCCAGTTTACTCCAATTCTAGATTTACCTAACTGCAAACACATCAATTGACCACTCCAGAAAATACCTCTGTAACTATTCGGACCCGGGAACCAAACTTGTGAGCATGATATTTGCACCAGAGATTCTAATGAGTTGATTTTGAAAGTCGTGCCTTTAAATTCACGACACCAATAGGCCACTTTCGATCTTAGAGGACACAAACAAAGACAATGAATAAACATGTCTCTGATGCAAAAATAATGCCGACAAGTTTGGTTCCCGTGTCCGAATAGTTAAAGAGAGTTTTGAGAAGTGGGTTGTGTTTAAAACTAATTGACCTCTGAAATACATGTTATTTACAACTTAATATTAAAGCTAACTACTTCATAAGAGAATCATTTAAGTATAATAATAATGATACTACTACTACTACTACTACTACTACTAATAATAATAATAATAACAATAACAATAATAATAATAATGATAATAATAATAATAATTCTAATAATGATGAAGATGATGATGAAAATAATAATAATGATAATGATGATGATGATAATATTATTAATTATAATAATGGGAACGCTTTTTCTGTACAATGTATATTCTCTTCCTTTTGTCATGAACTGCTTGTTACACCTACGAAATCAAACCTACTCTCACTAGTAGCATTTAATTAATATCATCCTAATAAAATTTTCTAATCTTTAAAATTCATTCTTAATTTCCTGCAAAGTATATTTTATGTTTTAACTAAGGGACATATTTCAGTTTATAATGTAGTTATATCTCTAAGCATCTCTAAAAAAATGTAAAGACCTTTGATATATCTCCTTAAAATGACACAATTTGGATTAGTTGACTTACTAACAAAAGATTTATGCACCCCAACTCAGCCATGGTCTTAGATTTAAACTTACTGTAAAAGAAGGAGGCCTTGTTAATAATTTTACAATAGGAAAACAGATTTGCTTCTAAGTTTTACTGACATTTAAGATGCACTATAAAAATGTATAAAGGCGAAAAATATACTTTAAATAAACCCCTTCTAGATGCTTATACTGCAAGTTAAACTACATTTAAAGTATTACAACTTTTTTTTTTTGAAATGATTCAACCTGAGGTGATTCAAACGTGGGCTATGGTCTTTGTAATGAATTATATATGGGTCTGGATTTGCTTCAGTCTTCTCAGTATTTCAGAAAAACGTGGTCTTTTTTCTGGATCAACGGTCCAGCAGTCCTTCATGAGCTGATAAACTGGGGCTGGAGTTTCTGCAGGGGCAGGCATGCGATATCCGTTTTCCACCTTGTCACGAGTTTCCTGAACAAGATATAACACTTTGTGAGAAACAAAAGACGAACTGACCTCCTTATCGAATAAATACCATGGAGTCAAGAATTAAGAATATTGAACAGATTACTAACGGTAACCTCTCCAGTTTAAAAAGTCAAAAACCAATCACACTTTTCTAATTTTCTCAAGCGTCAACAAAGGTGTTGAACTAATGTAATTCAAGTAATAATGCATTTTGTGGGGCTATTTCGAATCAGAATAAGATTCCGGGAAACTGCACACCTACCCCACCCTTAACCCAACAGCTTGCTGAAAGTGAGAACTAAGTGCTAACTTTGGATTAAGGGAGGAATACGTGGGCACTATATCCATAGAATCATACAGGATCAGGTAGAGTAGGAAACAGAGGGGTGGCATAAGCCTAAGGGAACGAAGTGGGGGAGGTAGGGGAGACATTCGTCGTCTGCCTGCCTTTTTCTGCCCCGCACATTTAACTCGAACATTTTCGAACGATGTCACGTATTCTTTAAAGCCGCCTTCCAACTGATGTGTAAGGATAAAGGAGACAAGGTCAACGGCTTAACGTCATCGCCTGATGACGCGATCATTTGAACTGACAAAGGGGTTTTAGTCACAGCAAGCATGACCTAACCACATTTTAAGACCTTTGCTGTAGACAGGCACTCTTTCAACTAAGCTAAACGGGCACCTCACTGGTAGAAAACGTCTGCATCTGCACTAGTCTAAAATGTCTCAAGGTTCGGAGTATTGAGTTTAGTAGTCCTCGAACAGACTTTTTAAGTCTTCAGTGTTCCAGTGCCGTGCCTGTCAGAATGGCGGTTGCAGCCGCATAAGGCATTAAAAAGGGAAATAAAAGCATGGCAAAGTAGTTATTTGTCTTGATTTGTGTCGTAAATTATGTAGAAATATTAATGTTTCTTGTCCTTACTCTGTTTGAAAGACCAGGATATGGTGTATTTCCGTAGGAGAAGGTCTCCCATAGCAACACTCCAAAGCTCCATATGTCGCTTAGTGTAGTGTACTGGAAGTAGTTCAGGGCTTCTGGTGCAGTCCACTTTACTGGAATCTCTTTCATGTTTGAAGCTTCATATACTGAATAGAAAAAAGAAAAAGGAAAATAGAGAAAAAAGACTAAGTTTTCGCTGCCCTCCGGCATTCAGTCTTGGCTTCCTAACAATTAAGTATCTGATAAATGGAACTTCGAAACAGTACAACCACTGTCAAAAACTGCTGCCTGTTTAATCAAGGTTAAGTTCCGTAACTTGAGTGAAATCGCAGTTTCACAAGACAGCGAAACAAACATTTGAGATGCACCCAAATACCGACTGGCCTAGAAAATAAGCGTCGTTTTTGTTTGAGGGGGCGGCTGTACAGGCTACTTAAGGCCGAGAACATGATTTTCTCCGCCATTAAGTTAGTCTCCGTTATGCCTAGCCCATTGTGCTTGCAGAATTCATTTATGTGCGTTATCTGTTCTTGTACATTTTCGCTATTACCGACTCCTTATAGAGTCCTCTTCACTTCGTTAAGGAAAGAACTTAATAAGCGTCCCCTCCTCGCCCAACCCCTCCCTCTATTTATTCAGCGTCTCCCTTTTGGTAGTCTGCTACACAGGCGTTTTTAGTGTCGTCACGCAACGCTCCTCCCCACTAGTGGGGAGGAGCGTTGCGTGACGATACTAAAAACGCCCGTGTAGCAGGCTACCCTTTTGGCAGTAATTAAAAAAAAAAAAAAAAAATTTCCAGGCATCTCTCAGTGAAATACGTTATTTCTCAGTATTTTACAAATGAAATCGTGGCTTTTCAGTTTCTGGAAATACGCCTGAGTATCAATAGCGAGTTTTTATATGTTTGTCTTGTATTGTCTGTTTGTTTGTCTGTCTATCTGATTGTCTGTTTTGTTTTTTGTCTNTGTTTTTGTACATTTTCGCTATTACCGACTCCGTATAGAGTCCTCTTCACCTCGTTAAAGACAGAACTTAATAAGCGTACCCTCCTCACCCCACCCCCCCCTCTATTTATTCAGCTTCTCCCTTTTGGTAGTCTGCTACACAGCCGTTTTCAGTGTCGTCACGCAACGCTCCTCCCCACTAGTGGGGAGGAGCGTTGCGTGACGACACTAAACACGCCTGTGTAGCAGGCTACCCTTTTGGCAGTAATTAAAAAAAAAGAAAAATTTCCAGGCATCTCTCAGTGAAATACGTTATTTCTCAAATTTTACAAAAGAAATCGTGGCTTTTCAGTTTCTGGAAATACGCCTGAGTATCAATAGCGAGTTTTTATATGTTTGTCTTGTATTGTCTGTTTGTTTGTCTGTCTATCTGATTGTCTGTTTTGTTTTTTGTCTATCTATTTGTTTGTCTTTGTTTGTTCCCTGCTTGTCCTGCTGTTTGTCTGTAATGATTTTATATATTAATGTTATTTTTATATATTGATGATATTTTAGTGATATATTTTTAATATTTTTACGTATGCTTGATTTAATCTTGTATTATATTCATTTTACTTATTTACAGTGTCCACAATTAGCTTTTAGCTAAAAACCTTGACACTTTAATAACGTTTATGTATGTATGTATGTATGTATGTATGTATGTAAGCAGCGTCGTTTTTGAGCGACGCACGACAACCGGAAGTGAGCCTTTTTCTCTTTTAATAAACCTTGATGCTAACAAATTTTTATTATCAAGTGTCTTAACTCTTATAAGAGACGATTTGCCCAAAAATGTGTTCAAAATCGCAGCTCAAGATTGCAAAAAGTCCCCTTCCGGTTCACGTGCATCGCTCAAAAACGTCGCGTGCTCAAGTTCCCTGGTTAGTACCAATATGGACCAACCTCGTACCCAGGGCTTCTCCCATTTTCTTAGCGAAAAGCCCTGGGGAGGATCTGCATTTACCTTCCTCCACTTCGCGAGACATCCCAAAATCTGATATCTTGAGTGAATCGTCGCTACCAATCAAACAGTTCCTCGCTGCCAGATCTCGATGGATACAGTTCTTGCTCTCCAAGTACTCCATGCCAGAGGCTGCGTCAACACTAAACCTGATTAGGTTTCTGGTTTTTAGATGGGCGCCTTTCTTACGTAGATAAGAAAGGAAGTCTCCACTGGGCATAAACTCCATCACTAGAAGGTAAACATAGCATGAAAGAGTTTGTCAGTTATAAATCGACTTAGGAATTGCCTCTAGTGCAGCTCTGTACCACCTCTAAATGTACTAACAACCCCAAATGTAATACCAACCGAAAATGAAATACTCATTATTAAATATCCCTCAGTGCCGAATAAGGGACCCAAGAACACGGAATATGTGAAATGGCAGCAAATTAGACTGCTTGTTGTCAGTTTCTCTTTTAAAAAATCCCCCACAAGAAAACATGAAAAATAACAAAGAATAAATAAAAATTGGGACAAGAAGGATTGGGACAAGCCGTCTCCTCCCAGTTCCTTTCTGTTAAAACCTCTCGTTTTGCGACCAGGCTTGCTGCGATAAGTAACTTGACGGAGAAAAGGCGGACTGCTAGCAGCTGAGTACCTAAGACACGGTATAAAATATGTATTTGGCCAGTTCCTATTAGAACGGAGGCAAAAAGAGGCTTATAGAATATTTCAACTGCTTGTCTATTACTGTTATAGCCTGCGTCGCTTACCGTCTAAATCCCCGATATATTGGACTATATCGAGTTCTCTATCTATAATCATGGACAAACGTCCTTGGGACAGTAATGCAATATTCATATTTTTCTGTCATTCTGGGTTCCCTCATGAAACAGCGCATCCTTTTAGAAATTTTCCGGCAGTTTTCCCTGCCCTCACTATGTACAAAGTTAAAACTCGTGAAAAATTCTGGATACACGCGTCCAACATTTTTTGTGGGGTAAGGGGAGGGTTTGGGCCTGTGTGAATTGGAAAACGCCCAGGAATGCAAGTGTTCCAAGACTTTTGTCCATGATTGAAGGTATTGAGTGACAAGTCCGGCTGCAACGCAAGCTATTACTGTTACGGGCCGGGTACCCATTAATTACCTATAAAAACAGGCTCCCTGTCTGCGCACACCCCGATAAGCTTCACAATGTTTGGATGATCATACTGCTTCAGAATCTCTGCTTCTGCTAAAAACTTCTTCTTTACTGTTTCAGACACACTCTCCTTGCATGATTTCACAGCCACTGGTAAATTGGAAGGCTTTAGAATTCCTTTCATGACGTCTCCAAAATGGCCCTGGCCAAGTTTATCCTTGAGAATGATGTCTTCCCGGCGCATTTCCCACTTGTCTTTTTCCTTCAAAACAGGGTTGACCAATATGGCCTGGGATTTCTTGGTCACGTAGATTTTGTTTTGCACGTGATAATCCAGTAGTTCTCTGACACTGGGGAACCCCCTGTCTTCAAAACGCACCAAGCCCTAAGAAACGACATACGTACATTGTTCAGTTACAGGCAGCCAGTACAACAGCTGAAGGAGGGTCATGAGGTTATCCCTATATTAAGATCTCTCTAGCCTGCGAAAACATCCGTTTCTCCTCGCTCTTCGACGCTGGGGACGTTTCGCGCGAAACGTCCCCAGCGGCGAAGTGCAAGGAGAAACGGATGTTTTCGCAGGCTAAGATCTCTCCTTAAGGATAACCCACCCAGTCCAGGAAAGGTTGGCCACATCACCGGGGTCTACGTCCCCTATTCTTTTCGACCAGTGGTGTGGGTGCTTTTTATGTCACAAAAGAGCCAGATAAGTGAATGTGCTGTGAGACGGGACCAAAGAAAGCCTAACCGTTTGCAGATGTCATTACAAAGGCAGCACTTTCTTCGCAGTTATTTAAAGACCCTGAGTGTTGGTCCGACCAGGGTTTGAACCCGCGACCTCCCGCTCAGCTGACCGGCGCTCTCCGAACTGAGCTAACCAGGGGGGCAGTTAGCGGCGGTTATCACAAGAAGAGAACGAGAACAATTCGAAAAAAAACGAAAAAACAAAAAACTGATGCCAAAGGAGGGAACGACAAACCAAAACGCTAAAAAGCAGTACTCACATCATCAGAGGTCTGGATGATAAAGTGTTTTAGTGCGCCTTCAAACCTCGTGGACAGAACAAATTGACCAGGTTTTGTAGAGCTTTCTCTCACCAGGTAGTCTCCGTTATTTTTAAGGCGTTCAGGTATATCTTTGCGATCAATTGTACCATGAAACCACAGCTCCTCCTGAAGAGGCAGGTTATCTTCAGGCTAAACAAATAAAACATACAAAAAAAACTCTCTTAACAGTCATCCGTTATTTTTAAGGCGTTCAGGTATATCTTTGCGATCAATTGTACCATGAAACCACAGCTCCTCCTGAAGAGGCAGGTTATCTTCAGGCTAAACAAATAAAACATACAAAAAAAACTCTCTTAACAGTCACCTCGCTAAAACCGACACCTGGAGTTGGTCCTTGCCGTCCCTGACTCTTAGGCCGATTTAGCAACAGAACGGGAACGTCAGTTGAAGACGGCGCGCGCAAATCCAACAACTTGCTTGACTAATGACAGAGAGGCAAATTGGGCACCGAAAGTAGAGTTTAGTCCTTTCCGCGCGCTTTCCCGTCGTCAAATGATGTTCCCGTTCTGTTGCTAAATAAGACGGCCCCCCCTCTAAGATGGACCAATATTGCCAGTCCCAAAGGAGAGAGCACAGTTGTTATGGAACAATTTTGAAGACTTGTCAAAACGAGCCTAAGAATATCAGCAAACGTCGTTGATGAAGGGGTCTGGATGGAATACGAAAGCTCAGTGTAACTATCAAGAAATTGTTGGTGATAAGGACTATTTCTCTGTAATAAAGAAGTTGTTGCATGGCGGAGGGACCATTCCTTCTCGCAGGAACAAAGCGGGCGAGGCAGCTTTATTTTTTCCGCTTGGGAAGCATCCAATCTCCATCTCGCTACACGCGCCTCCACTATACGTACACTAAACTAGAAGAAGCAAATGCCAAATAGCCTCCCACGCAGACGTTCTTTTGGCTCGTCACGCAATCTAACGCGGTCTGACCATGGAACAAGTTACCATAAACATTATAGATCTTGAGCTTCAAAATGATAGTCTTGCAAGGCCCGGTCATCATGTCCAACATCAGCTGGGATTTTGTCGGACATTGGGTATACTCAAGTTAGACACTGTCCAAAGATAGATAGTCTGATCCACCGCCGTTTTAAGTGTCGTCACGCAACGCTTCTCCCCACAAACGGAAGAGCGTTGCGTGACGACACTAAAAACAGCTGTGTAGAAGACTAAACGACAGACTGTTATTTACAGGTTTGCAGATGGTAACTAAAGTTGAGTGAAACAAAAAATATATATATATAAGGGATTAAATTAAATTTTACCTCAATATATTCCCCTGTAGCACTGTCATCTGAGTCATTATCTCTTCCATTAACTTTGTCGCTAGGAGACGGGGCCCTGTAGCGAACAGGTTTTTTCTCTGCAGGGTTGGCAGACATTTCCTTTTCCAGTCTTCTCTTTTTAAACAATGTAGGTATTTTTCGCGCACTTTTTCTGAACTCGGGAGTAGATTGCCCAAATTCCTGCAATATCGAGTACACATGAGCGAAAAGCTGTTACACCATCTTTCTGTTTCCTTAACTCTGGATGGGTCTCCCAGAGGATGTTGTGAAAATTTGTTAATCGTGAAAACATGTAACTTTCTTACAAGCTAGATACCTGGTATCAGATTTACCTGACTTGCCCAGCCATAAGATGCTTGCATGAAGAAGCATGAGCACTCTAAGGGTTCCCGGTACGATCTCAAAAATATCAGACGCATTAACTTTTAGGCTCGATTTCCGCCGTCTCCCGGGTGCGGTCTTTGATCTTCCCCGAAGAGAGACGGCTGGACGCGTGACCCGTTGACCTTGTCTGTGACGTAATTGGAAAGTTGATAATTTAGGCGACAATCTTTGCCAGACGAAAATCTGCAGGCGGTAACATGATTGGCTTAAACCAACAAAGGCAATCGCACGCGTCCAGCCGCTCTTTCGGGGGATGAGTGCGGGCTCATTTTCCCGAACTGTTAGTTCATTTAAGGAGTAGTCATAGCTTTCTTTTATACGTGCACACAATAGTAAACAATGAGGTTTTTGACCAATCAGAAAATGTCTCCTGTAGGCTTTTTTCCTGTGCCAAGATTTATTGGTTTTCTTCTCACAAACAAAATAAAGTGAGATATCTAATGCACAAGAATTAACATTATAAGCAAAAATAGCAAGAAACACAAAGCACTCATGGTAGTAAATAAAATACATAACTAAATAGACTTGATAAATAAAGAAAGAAAGAAAGAAAGAAAGAAAGAAAGAAAGCAGATTTACATACACAAGCACTAGCAGCATGCAAAACATATCAAGAGAAGTATAAAATAGCTACAAAAGAGAAACAATACTTAATGAGATAAAAGGTCATTAGTAAGTTTTAAGCGAGTTTTCAGTTTTCCATTTTAAAGTTGAACTTGGCGAACAAACTCATTAGATTAGTTAACTGGCTACTGTAAAGTTTTGCAGGAATTAAATTAATGTTTGACGTGCAGTGGTTGTCTACATTACTGACTTGGGCAGCTGTATTACCTACCCCAGCAGGAGGTGAGTTTGGAACTGAAAAATCTGCAAACTTTGGAGGTTGATTATTGCCCAGTCTGTCAAGTACGACAGCAATCATGTTGCACATTTTCTAAAATAGAGAATGAGAGGTTTAAGGTAAAGATGCACAGGACTATTCCCAGCAGTATGCCACAGGGTCCCCTTTTGCAGCGGCTAGCATGCCTAAGAACTGACGCAGACACAATATAACCCTCACCTCCAGATTCACAGTTCAAATTGACAACTATGTGGCCTGTATCACAGATGTTAGGTTTTGGTGTGTGTGAAGTGGCTAACATGACACAAGTTACAGCTTAACAACCAGGTCTCTGTCACAGGGCAAAATTACATTCAGGTTAAAATATTCTTAACCTAGGTTGTTTCCCAATTTTCTCTGTCTCCTAGCCCTACTTCATGAATAAGGGTCCGGCGGAAAAAGGGCACATTAAAAAATTTTGAAAAATATGCTTAAAATTGAAATTGCTCAAAAATTGCCGATTTTTTGTGTATATGCTTTTTTGTGTGTGCTAAACATTGTCCTGTACTTGTTTTGCTCATTTTCCCCTTATCGTTGTAGAAAAAAACGTATGCAGAAAACGCGTCGGTGTTCTTTAGTTCGAAAAAGAGACAACAGGCTAGGAGACAAAGGAAATTGTGAATCAACCTTGGTTAAAAAACTTTAACCTGAATTTAATTTTGACCTGTAACATCTCCACCTAACTAAACACTTGCTTTGATAAAAAAGAAAAGGAGATGACTAACAATGATAAGATGTCTTGAAAATTCTCCTCATGTGTACAATCTATGGAGATCAGTGACAAGATTATACTCGTTGATATTGGGGCTAAAATAGTTACCACAATACTCTCAAATAATAATGTAAATAACAATAAGTTTAATAATGGTATTTATTACATAAACATCAATGAAATACCAGGTGAGCTTTCGCGTGAAAACTTGATATCTTCACTAGTGAAAATAACATGTTATCTTCACATGTGAAAATATCACTGTTGCTATGGCTACATAATAAATCGCACCTTTCACACCAAAAAACTGTTAAAGTGAAATGGTTTGGTACTTCATTGGTGATTATATAATAAATAGAACATTACATGGCCGCTTGGAGATATGAAATTTCTCTTCTCGTGTTAAAAATTAATATTTCACTCATTCGCTGCGAAATATTTTTCAACACTTGAAGAGAAATTTTGTTTCTCCACGCGTCCATGTAATATCCTCTTTATACTAACAAAATATGACACACGTACCTCTAACTTAGTTTTTTTGCACTTTAGATCTTCCACATGCCAGCTTAGAACAGCTACATTCTGCTCCTTTTGAATGATGCTATCAAACCACAAAAATAAAGCAAATGTTATACAACAAACTTCAATAGTATTGAAGACTGAAGCATTGTCTAACCTTGGAAGTGTTAATTACTAGCACAGAAGCTAGTCGTGCAAACTAAGTCACAAAGGAAACATATGCATATTTAGGAACAGAACAATGCAGTAAAAAATCCATGTTATTATATTAACCAGGTGACTTTTAGCAAGCATCATTGGCTAAGGTGCTGAAGTCAGGACTTCTTCAAAAAACCAATTATAAAAGAGGGCAACAACAGCAGTCTGCATGGACAGTCTTTGTCCCCCAACAGATGAGAAACAATACCCTTTCTTCTCCAATTTATATTTTCCAGGATAATATATTGTTACAGAACATTATTATAGGATGAGGAGCATTGATCCCTTTTACTTAGTTATCTTAGCAATTTCAGCCGTTCACAGTTTTCTGAGTTTGACAGTAAAACTCACTTTAGCTTCAAGCTGCTTTTCGATGGTTTCAATTTCCTTGGTAAGATAATTTCTCCTAGGAGAAAGGCAGTACAAATTAGAAACCCACTGCTTATTTTCTTGTCACACCAACAGATTGGCTGTCAGGTATTGGGGACTGGGAGAGGGACGTTTAACTAGTAAAACAGTCAAAGTTTCATAAGCAACCAACCAAAATGTGAAGATTCAGTGGTCACTTACAAGAATCCAACCACAGAGGGTCTTTTCCAAGCAAGGGTCCCAACACATATACTTTTTGAAGGTGAATTTACTGCATGCAATTTCTAATAAGTTGCTATGATCATATTAAGCTCTGTGTTCTCACGAAAAGTTCCTTAGAAGTAGCATAGTACATATATAGTGAACAAAGAGATCAGACCATGCATTGAGTGGGCGCTTACTAGAGGGTAAAAACAATGGAAAAATTCTCTGTTCAAAAAGTGGTCCTGGTTGCTTACGAGAGTTGGCCATTTACGAAAGCTTCCTACAATAGTAATTTGACTAGGAGAATATTATTATTTTCATAGGGGTTATGGCACTTTTAATAGGAGAGGTGATCGCACATATACATGGAGGTTCAACTGGATTGAACTTTTAGAAAATTAATATTAGCATATGGTTAACAAGTGCATGAGTGAAACTATTGATAACTACCGGTAGTCAGAATATTAAGGGACACAATGAAAAAGCAAATTCAAGGATCAAAACACACCTGTATTCAAGTTTCTCCATAGTCAAATCGTTCAACACTAATTCATCAGCTGTTACCCCTGTTGATGTCAGTTGAAGAAGAGATGGATCAAAGATGAATGCTAGAGCTGGTTTTTGATTCTGTCTGCAAGAAAACAAAGGAGAAAAAAGATGACACAACAATCTTGTGGTCAATTTCTACAGTTATGGACCAAAAAGTAGCAGCAGTGCAACAATGATTTAAAGTCAAGTGAGAGTTAGTTCAGGGCTCGACGTTGCGACCCGTGGGGTCGCCAATGCGACCAGCTTTTACTCAGTGGCGACAAAATTTTCACGCCTGGTCGCCAACCTGGCCCCCAAGATAGGTGACTTTCTTCTTTGGGTAAACGTACACAGGTGTTCTTTAGTTCGAAAAAGAGACAACAGGCTAGGAGACAAAGGAAATTGTGAATCAACCTTGGTTAAAAAACTTTAACCTGAATTTAATTTTGACCTGTAACATCTCCACCTAGCTAAACACTTGCTTTGATAGAAAAGAAAAGGAGATGACTAACAATGATAAGATGTCTTGAAAATTCTCCTCATGTGTACAATCTATGGAGATCAGTGACAAGATTATACTCGTTGATATTGGGGCTTAAATAGTTACCACAATACTCTCAAATACTAATGTAAATAACAATAAATTTAATAATGGTATTTATTATATAAACACCAATGAAATACCAGGTGAGCTTTCGCGCGAAAACTTGATATTTTCACTGGTGAAAATAACATGTTATCTTCACATGTGAAAATATCACTGTTGCTATGGCTACATAATAAATCACACCTTTCACACCAAAAAACTGTTAAAGTGAAATGGTTTGGTACTTCATTGGTGATTATATAATAAATAGAACATTACATGGCCGCTTGGAGATACGAAATTTCTCTTTTCGTGTTAAAAAAATATTTCACTCGTTTGCTGCGAAATATTTTTCAACACTTGAAGAGAAATTTCGTTTCTCCACGCGTCCATGTAACATCCTCTTTATACTAACAAAATATGACACGCATACCTCTAACTTAGTTTTTTTGCACTTTAGATCTTCCACATGCCAGCTTAGAACAGCTACATTCTGCTCCTTTTGAATGATGCTATCAAACCACAAAAATAAAGCAAAATGTTACAAAACAAACTTCAATGGTATTGAAGACTGAAGCATTGTGTAACCTTGGAAGTGTTAATTACTAGCACAGAAGCTAGTCGTCCAAACTAAGTAACAAAGGAAACATATGCATATTTAGGAACAGAACAATACAGTAAAAAATCCATGTTATTATATTAACCAGCTGACTTTTAGCAAGCATCATTGGCTAAGGTGCTGAAGTCAGGACTTCTTCAAAAAACCAATTATAAAAGAGGGCAACAAGAGCAGTCTGCATGGACAGTCTTTGTCCCCCAACAGATGAGAAACAACACCCTTTCTTCTCCAATTTATATTTTCCAGGATAATATATTGTTACAGAACATTATTATAGGATGAGGAGCATTGATCCCTTTTACTTAGTTATCTTAGCAACTATATGCATTTCTAAACATTTTCTTACTCACTTGAGATGATCTAGGGCCAGTAGAACAAATATAAGTCCCAGTTGTTAAGCTTACCCAAAACCCATTATCAATTGTGTAATTGCTAAAGCAAAGGTTTAAATGTTGTTATTCTGTGTATTTTGTATTCCTTGCTATTTAGCAGCAAGATGTATTTTTTAAAGTTTTTAACTTGTACCTTAAGTGGTCTTCATTTGTTTGTTTTTCCCCTTGAAGTTTATTGTTTTCTTGCTCATGTTCCTTTTGCTAGAAAATGTAATGTACAATCAGTCAAGGTTCAAAAAAATCCTCTGGTCAGTGTCATACAGTGGAACTGCGATATAGCCTGATGAACAGCAAGGGACAGGCAAAATGTGTCCACTATAATGATTTTTATTATATTGAGATTCTTTTCCATCTTACGTCAATATTACTACTTCATTATATATATGGGTTTGTACAGGAGGCAGCGTGGCTGAGTGGTTAGGGCGCTGGACTTGCAAGTCGGAGGCCCGAGTTCGAGTCCTGCCATGACCGAGACCCTGCCAGGGTAAATTCGGACAAGCGGCATGGCCCAAAAACTAGCGACAGCGCTTAAAATGAAATCCCGACAAGAGACAACCTCCCTTGGCCAAATTGCGACAGTGACGGCAAAGCCAACAATAAGCGAAAAGCATTTATAAACACCGACACGAGACGTTTTATAATTCAGACGGGCAACATGAAACCCCCCCCCCCTCTGGCAGGGCCTCCTGACCGCTAGCTGAAGTGATGTCCTCAGTCATCCCGGCCAAGTTCAAATCCTCGACCACGGTTATAAATAGCCGACTGGTGGGATTCTTAACCCCATCATGTTTGATTTCAATTATTTGTTTCAGGCATTTGCTCCACCCCACTAGCACTACGTCTGCAAATACTGCAAAGGGTAAATAACAGAAATTTATTTTATATCAAGGTTCCAAAAATTTTGGTAAAACTTTGGTAAAGCTGCACTTAGAAATAGAGTAAAATATAACAAGTGACTTTTGAGGTAGATCTAAGCTTATTTGCATTTACCCGCTAGAATTTTCTCTTGTTTTTAAGCCTCAAAACAGTGAGAAATTCCAGTAATGCGACAGCTATATGCATACGTTGCAGATGAAACCACCCTTGGTGTGATTTTATCATCACTTATTTACAGTGTGGAGAAAATATGTATGCATTGATACTATTTGGGCCTAAAATATTAGGAAAAGGAAAGAAACATCCACATTCTGTATTACTGTGAAACTCACAAAACTGTGAATACCAGAAGTATTCATGGGATGTTATTGTGTTGCGAAGAGAAATTAAAAAGCCAATAAGGCGTGAGAAACCTAAACCGGAAACAGCAACAGTAGTCAGTTTGTGGTTTTGTGGTCGGCTCGCATGTCCTTAACTTCACTGTGATTGGTCACTACACAATCAACATTCCTGAAATTTTTCAGCCGTTCACAGTTTTCTGAGTTTGACAGTAAAACTCACTTTAGCTTCAAGCTGCTTTTCGATGGTTTCAATTTCCTTGGTAAGATAATTTCTCCTAGGAGAAAGGCAGTACAAATTAGAAACCCACTGCTTATTTTCTTGTCACACCAACAGATTGGCTGTCAGGTATTGGGGACTGGGAGAGGGACGTTTAACTAGTAAAACAGTCAAAGTTTCATAAGCAACCAACCAAAATGTGAAGATTCAGTGGTCACTTACAAGAATCCAACCACAGAGGGTCTTTTCCAAGCAAGGGTCCCAACACATATACTTTTTGAAGGTGAATTTACTGCATGCAATTTCTAATAAGTTGCTATGATCATATTAAGCTCTGTGTTCTCACGAAAAGTTCCTTAGAAGTAGCATAGTACATATATAGTGAACAAAGAGATCAGACCATGCATTGAGTGGGCGCTTACTAGAGGGTAAAAACAATGGAAAAATTCTCTGTTCAAAAAGTGGTCCTGGTTGCTTACGAGAGTTGGCCATTTACGAAAGCTTCCTACAATAGTAATTTGACTAGGAGAATATTATTATTTTCATAGGGGTTATGGCACTTTTAATAGGAGAGGTGATCGCACATATACATGGAGGTTCAACTGGATTGAACTTTTAGAAAATTAATATTAGCATATGGTTAACAAGTGCATGAGTGAAACTATTGATAACTACCGGTAGTCAGAATATTAAGGGACACAATGAAAAAGCAAATTCAAGGATCAAAACACACCTGTATTCAAGTTTCTCCATAGTCAAATCGTTCAACACTAATTCATCAGCTGTTACCCCTGTTGATGTCAGTTGAAGAAGAGATGGATCAAAGATGAATGCTAGAGCTGGTTTTTGATTCTGTCTGCAAGAAAACAAAGGAGAAAAAAGATGACACAACAATCTTGTGGTCAATTTCTACAGTTATGGACCAAAAAGTAGCAGCAGTGCAACAATGATTTAAAGTCAAGTGAGAGTTAGTTCAGGGCTCGACGTTGCGACCCGTGGGGTCGCCAATGCGACCAGCTTTTACTCAGTGGCGACAAAATTTTCACGCCTGGTCGCCAACCTGGCCCCCAAGATAGGTGACTTTCTTCTTTGGGTAAACGTACACTAATGATAATTTGCTATCCTTTACACAACTAACGGTAGCTAACGGTCTTTCTGGAGACTTTCGATCACGTGTTAGGCAACCGCGCAATAGATGAAGTTTCACCGATGTTCAGTTCTGAACATGCAAATACATGGGACCCAAAACAAATTTTGCAGATTTTGTTCTTTCATAACCCAAATAAGTTTTTTGTGATTCCTAAATTTTGTTTTTTTAATGTGTATTCCATTTCCTGAACCTTAAGCTTGAATGCCTGTTTGAGGAGATTTACGCTTGAGTGCGGATTCATTTTACAGAACACCAGCTGGTAATCGAGCGTCAGTGAAAACCATTCGAAAGAAAGTTCAAAGGAAGTCTAAACCATTCATTTTCTGTTAAGGCTAAGTTAAAGATGTTAAGTTTATTTTATCCCATTAGTTCTTAAATACAATTTTTGGCGACTAGAATACTTGTTCTGGCGACCAAAAATGAAAACTTGGGGGCCAGTTGGCCCCAAGATTTTTTTCTGAAAGTCGAGCACTGTAGTTCGGATCGGACGAGCCTGAGGTGCCTCCCAAAAAAAGGGTTTCAGCACTGTTTTGCAGACTGACTTGAACAGAAGTTTAGTTTCTTCTGTGGCACAGGTTACATAAGGGGCAGAGATACTTAAATTTACTTAGACCTCAAGTGAATATTTTTTGAAAGTGTCAAACCACAGCAGTCATGGGTATTGAAATATGAATGAATATGAATGTTTATTTCAACAAATCGGGACAAACTTGTTCTGTGAAGATAATCTGCCCCTTAACTGCTGTCTTAATTATTAAAAATGTATGTGACACTGACTGTAGCGCATAACTACTAGCAAACATCTAGGATAAAAACTCATGTTTCTGGGGGATCATAGACTGCAAAACAGTCGGTATTTTTACATGTTCAAGTACGTGTGAACAGTCAAACAAAATGTCTAGAGTTAGGCTGAAAACAGAGAGCCAGACTGGAGAGAGACACTAAAAATACAGACTGTCCATTTTACATACATTATATTTGTTTGATCTACCCACTTCTTCCAGCCATGGGCAATTCCTACTGGCTAAATTTTGATGCAAGCTGTTAACAAGCTGTCAAGTTAAGTTTCCAACAAGTCATTCACGATGTTCCCTACTGTATGTGATGAAGTCATTGTCTGTTGGCGAGTCCCGTTTTTCTCTTATTGGCAAAAGCGTCGCAGCACAGTTTCTAATTAACCAGGCAAGAAAACTCTTGTGAAGAAAGGTTCTCCTTCGTTGAGGACAACGAAAAGTTTGTTTATCAGAAGGTCAGCCCACTTTGGTAATGTTTCACCTTTTTATAGTAGGGGCAACAAGCATACTTTCAGAGCTTATAATCCAGCCACTCTTTAAATTGTCAAACTGTCCTTTGAAACAACAGCCGCACATTCTACAATTATCTGCAGCACTTGGCTTGGCTTTCTCCCTCTTTGAGGAGCAGGAACAGACTTTGTTGGCATACTGCCACTTCTGCTCATTTTGGAACTTCCAGCAAACACTATATACATTGCACACAGAAACAATGCTCAAGACTGGATACAGCATTCAACACAAGATTTGAAGCCACTGGGTGTATCAAATTTACAAAGAGGGTGGAGTTGTGACTAGATTTTTGACAGCTTGACACTATACTGGACCGACTTTGAGAAAAAACCAGACCGTTTTGCAGTCTCGGGGGATCATTAACCTTCCATCCATATTTTTTAACCAAGGTGTATGTATTAATACCATCCACAAAATACCTGTTCTTATTGATAAAGTTTGCATACTCTTGGTCTCTTTTTACTTCCGTGACACTGGCCTGTACTGCTTGGCTTGATGACATATACTCTTCTCGGCAACAGTTTGTAAGATGAAAAACATTCTGCAGCAGATCTTTCCTAAATTAATGAAACAACAAAAAACAGTCAGATCTCTCTAAGAAAAATGCTGTTGCAGGCACCAACACTAATAGCCTGTCTCATCAGAAAGGTGCCTAAAATAATTATAGAGAGAAGTCAAAGAAAAATGACTGAAAAACTGCAGAAGAACCAAAACATCCTGTAGAAGACCTTTCCTAAATCCAACAACAAAATATAATCAGTTCTCTCTAAGATTGACACTAGGCTGATTTAGCAACAGAAATTATGGGAACGTCAATTGACGAAAGCGCACGCAAAGCAAACAGCTGGCTTGACCAAAAGTAGAGCGGCAAATTGGGCACCAGAAGTCAAGTTTAGTCCTTTCTGCGCACTTTACCATTGTCAAGTGACATTTCTGTTCTGTTGCTAAATCAGCTTACTATTGCAGGCACCAACACTGATAGCCTGTCCAATCAGAAAGGTGTCCACCTTTATAGACAGAAGTCAAAGAAAATGACTGAAAACCTGCAGGCACCAACTCTAGAACAGCTGGAAATAACTCCCATCTGGTTAAATTCTCAGGATAAGAAGATTTTCTGGTTGCGTGAGTAACTTTATTTTATAACCCGTAAGTCCCAAAAGCAATTTTCTTCTTACTGTATCAAGCAGAAACGGTTATAAAAATTAATCAAATGATCACTTAAGAGAAAATGCTTTGATCTTTTAACAAATTCTCTCAACTTGTTCTATGGGAAATGTATGGAGATCAGTCTGGAGAATTTGAATGTGGATCTTGGGGCTTAAAGGGTTATTAGTGACCATCATCAATTTTCTCCTAACAATAGCAATGCATAATCAAGCAGAAGAGGTTATGAGAATTATTAAGATGACCACCTACATGTAAGAGAGAATTCTGTGATCTTTTATCAAATTCTCTTGCCTAAGTCTTGAAGTGAATGTAAGGAAATTATTTTGGAGAATTTGAATCTGGATATTAGGAACTCTTAGGATTTAACCCTTCAAATGCAGCAGGATTAGCTCAGGCGGAACAGCACTTGACTGCAGAGCAGGAGGTCACGGATTCGATTCCCTGGGCCGGGTCAATACTCAAGGTCTTAAAATAACTGAGAAATGAAGGTACTCCCTTTGCCCTGCAAACCGGTAGTAGACCTTCGCGTGGCTTGGATGACCACTTAGAATGGCAGTCCCGTCTCCAGTAGGAGACATAAAACAATAGTGTCCTCAATTAGCACTTTCATGCTAAATACATTGACACTCAAATAAAGTGCTTTTATTTTTTAGGGCTTAAAGAGTGAAGCTTACAATGGCGAATGGGCAACGGTCTACATAAGTCATCAATCAAGTTGCTAAACCATTAACTAAATATAAGCAAGCAATGGCTGTGAGCAAGAAAAAAGGGGAGAGCTGCTTGTTCAAAAGACAAGCTAGAATTCATGTTTTTTAGCCCTGTCTAAGTGAGGTGTTTGTAAAATATACTTTTACAGCTTGCGAGGTGTCTGACGAGGAACTTAGTTCACTGTATCCCCTAACTTTATGGCTCTTAGTCTCAGCATAAAAAATATGGACCCAATAAAAGCTTTTACTGTTAAGACTCAGAAAACTGTGAACACCAGAACCTTTTCTGGAATTTTATGTTATGGTTTTGTAATTGTATTGGAAGCAGAAATCCAATCAGTGCAACAAAACTGCAAAGCTGCAAGCAATAACTGTAATAATTATTAGTCTTCAGGACTGACTAGTATGAGTGGCTTTTGTGGCTTGTTACATAATTTATGCCAGTTAAAACTTACCATTCCTCCACATACTCTTCTTGCAAATATTGTAAAGAATTTAACATTGTAGGAACAAAAACATCGTTATAGAATCCTTGGTGGCAATTTCCTGATTTCAGGGCTAGCACATAATCATTATGATTATGATGAAGTTTCATAGTCGTTTTCACATATTTATCTTTAGAACGCTCCCAGTCTTTGCCATTTAATTTATCCTTTGCACGAACTTCCTCATATTTTCTTTTCCCAGTCTCAGATTCCTTCGCATTGTCTTGGTAAGTTTTTCTTAGTCTGTCAATTTCATCAGATTCCTGTTTGCAGCCACTATCAACTCTAAACTTTTCAATCCTGTACACTTTCAATAAGTTTCTCTTGTCCTCAATAAGCTGGTCCAGTCTTTTTAATGTAGTAGAATTCAAAATGTTGGTAAATTCTGTAATCAACTTGGCCTTTGTTTCACTTTCTGCAATATATGTGCCCCAAGCCTGGTAAAAAAATGAGATAACAGCCCACTGAAATAAACTTACATGTGTAATATTTCTGTTCATTAATACATTATTACATATTCACACTGAAAACAGGCTCTGAGCAAGTAAAATAAAACATATAAAATATACTTTTTACAAGACCAATAAATTATGCCCCTTGCCCCAGACCTCGACGTATTTATAAATTAGCATAATAAATACCTTGTGCTGTGTTCTCAAATAATGTACTTACTGAAATAAATATTAATATTAGTTTAGTTAGGAATAAAATTCCCAGCCTTACATCAACAAGCTACAGTTCTATATATAACCCATATATTGAATGATATTAGTAAACAGCTGCCACAAAATTGCATGTCAGAGCAGGGACTATCAGAATTGGCAAGTCTACAACCTCAACATGAGATCATAAATTAAAATAAAAAACTCTGTTTTATGCATTTTCTCCAGCCTGCAACAGGCAGATATACAGCAATACCATCATACTGCGAAAAAGGTTGAAGGAAATTTTGATACATGTGCTCCACAATTTCTGAATGTTAGTGTATTAGAATACAAGATGAATAATTATTATTTTTTCATATTCATTTTATTTTTTTAAATAGATAACCTGAAAAAAGAATTGGACAAAGGAAAGCTTAGTTCAATCACATAAAAATACATGTATATCCTGTAAGTGTTGTTCAATACAAAAATTGCATTTTCTGGGTGAACATTTCATTTTCTTCAACAAATATCAACTAGCCCACGAATTTCGAGAAAGTTATCTACTGTTGCAATATTGGTTGGCTTAACCTTCAAAAATGATAAATTTGCATTGCAAGTCCTACATTGTCAGGGAAGTCAAATACCAAATAATTTTATAACTACTATATAAATAAACTAATATGTTATTATAATAAAACAAAGTTTTGAAATACATGTAGTTGGGGCTGATGACAGAGAGTAAAAGACGAAACAAATAACCTTAAGATAAAATGGAACACTGCCGGGTTTTAACAGAAAACAAGACATAACATTCGGCATCGGAGAGCCAAAGAATGTGATGAACGCAATTAAAATGAAAACAAGCTTACTGCGAACTGCTGCCGCATAATATCACACAATACATAAAAATACACAATAATAAAACAATAACCAAATAAGAAAAATTTCGTTAAAACGAAACTGCCATGATTTTATACTTAGCAAGATTTCTTAACGATTTCCGATAGATACGAAATCAAATTGAAGAATCAATGATCAAGCCCACCACACCGGTCGATTATCTCCGAACTAAACATATAGAAACATAAAGTTTAAAGGACCGAAAACTTTACCTTTCTTATGGGGCTTTCTTTCTCGTTGTCGTTGATAACCTTAGAAGCAACCGTGTTTATTCTGGTCAAAGCTGAAGCATAATCAAGTTCGACTTTAGCTCGTTTGGTGAGATATTCTCTGACATGCTCCAAATGTTTCAGTTCTCCTTCGATGTGAGTCAAGATCGCCTCGTGTCCTGTCTTAGAGGACAAATCCACTGAAAATCGCAAATGCTGCCT